CGCAAAGACAAGAGAGGTTGTTCCCGTTTTACCAATGGCCATACTTTCTTCTCTAGAAATCCTGGCTACGGATCAAGTAAATGAAAAAGAGGAAAGCTTTACTTTACCATTTAAAGTTAAGAAAGCAAGACTGGAAAACAAGGAGGTTATCTTTTCACCTGTAAACTGAACAATTACGACAGGGTAAAGTCTTCTGCTATTACATAAACATATAGCCTACCCAAGTTGTTAAGATGTTTCAGCCACTTGTGTAATTTGGGATCCACTTCTTCCAGCTCACTCAGCACATGGATAAAACCCCTTGTTTTTACTCTGTTTTTTTCCTGAATTAAGTAACTGATGAGCTGCTCCATCACTTCATGTGACATGCTGCTAGTTTTGGAATACGATGTGTAATCCTCCTCGCTGATTACAAACCATGAAAGTAATTCCTTTAATAGTTTGGAAGCATCGCGAACAGCTGTTTTTATTTGCTCAGCATTTCGACTGATATGCTGCAGGACTCCATCACCAGCATATAAATCCTGAACATAACCTATAACAGGATTTAAAAAAAACCAAACGAAACAAGATTTCATGTCTGTTTACCACAACTAAAAACATCAACTTTAAAGTACAGATAATTTGGACTAAGTGGTGTTTTTAATTATTTGCTTTATCACAACACCGAAAATTACAGAATGTAACTTTCCATATAAACTAGCCTGAGCATTATGAATCTGACATAACGTTGTTTTAGATTTGGTTTACACAAAGAAAGAATCCGTAGCACCTTCACTAGATTTCAGAAAGAAAAAAAGAAGTTTACCTGCCAGTAATAGTACCTTCAAGCAATTGTCTGTACAGATTTATCTGTGTGGGCTGCACGCCAGCCCTGATGCAGAGACCGAACTCCCCCAAGCATCAGTCCCCAGAGCAAATGCACGCTTCTGAACGCTCGAGCATACACCCAGTAGCAAACCTTTGCCCTGACCCTGCCACCGGTTCTTTGTAGAACAAGAGTGAAAAAGATTACTGGCTCGTACCAGCCTTCACCTTCCGTTATTCTGCAAGACCACACATTTATAGAATGCCACTTTCAGAGCTTAACTGACAGTAACTGTAGTCAAAAGATGTAGATCTGAAAAGATTTTTTTTTAAATAAAGCGCTACATATTACACTTAGAATAATTAAGCATTGTAACACAAACAGTTCCAAGCACACTAACAGATTCAATAAACTCTACCGGTATAAGCCATGCCCGAGTTTACCTGCAGGAGGCTGCAGAAAAAACCTCTCTATCTTAACAAATGCGCATACAAACAAGCGCTCCCCTCACTTGCACTCCTCTCCAATTGACAAGCAGATTTGTTATTGTTTAAAGGTAGCTATGGCTGCTAAAAACAAAACAAAAAAACCCTTTGTGAGCTAGCTCTCCCCTGAAACTGGCCTCTCAACCTCTCAGGCAGCTTGGGAGATTCAATTAGATGTTTTTTGAAAGATTTTCTCACAAAATTTCCCCAAGTGAAAAAACAGGGGTAGCAGAAAGCTTGTCTCCAAAGACATGCAAGACTTGCATTTTATTATGGAATTAACTCAGGACAAATTAAAAAGGTTGGCCAACACCAACGCACAGATTTTTGCAGAACTGTGTTAAGTTGCTTGGTGTTGACATATTCCTGCACCAGTGCCCCAACTTTTACCCCCAGTACTTCGGGGTGAGTGTTCTTGTCACACCAAAGGCATTTTTAGTTCGTAGAAGTTTTAAGGGCATTTAGGACAGTCAAGTCGCATACATGTAACTGAGTGACCTGCAGTGGATGCAAGGACCAGAACTAAAGGCAAGCCATAGGAAAGGAAGATAGCCCAGACTTAAAAAAAAACAACACAAAGTCAACGGAACGTGATTTTAGAAAACCACATGGAAGCAAAAATAGTAATCTATGTTGCTAATAGAAGGGACTACTCTCAAACAAAATGGTTAAAAAAAAAAACCTGAAAAGATTAGCACCCGAGAGCTTTTTAAAGAGAAAGAGACAGGATATGCCACTGAACAGGCAACAGGGTTCTGGAGAAATCAGTGTGGCATGTAAGGGATGAAAAAGTGCCCTCAAAGTATTTAATATAAAATTCTACAAGGAAATTACCGTGAGCGCTATTTTAAAGTTAATAATACAGACAAAAATTTAAAAAAAAAAATCCACCTATTTTTCTTTGCACTGTAGCTTGCCCTAATACAAAATGCAGTGGGAGTTCGCACCTCTGAAATACAGAACGCTGCAGACCAATGTAACTGGAAGACAAAAGCTGAAGCATTAACTGACTACATACTTACAGGTTGAAGTATTTTCTTTTCCCCAACCCTCTGAAATACACTTTTCAAGTCACTGCAGTTTCTGCAGTTAGAATATTGTCCTTTCTTTATCTGAGATGCAGTTCTGATTTTATTTCTGTAGCAGTGTCCTAATTTGTTGGCATAAAGCTTTTTCTGAAACCACTTTTAAATAGATTAACTTGGAATTTGAGCCTGTGCCCTCTTCAGACTGCTTCTTCATGAACCAATGAAGCAAGAATAAAGGTTTTCTACATGGAACTTAACCATAGAATAGTATCTTACAGTTATTTAGAAATTAAAAACACAGCTGAAATAAAAAGTAAAAATGCGAGTCTTTAAGGGGGGAATTACATTCAATATTAGTATTCTGCTATAATTTGACTTAGGACATTCCGAACGCCAATGATGCTACCCCGTGATAACTTAGAACAATAATCTATACTTCCACATACCGCTGTGATCACTGTATTGAGATGGTTCGTTTCCCATCTGGTTTTCTTCTGTTTTCTTTTTAGCAGAATTCTGTGCCTCTTCTCGTGCACGTTTTCTTCGTAATTTTTTTTCTTGTTTCATTTTTAACTTCCTAAGGCTGAAAAAAGCAACTACGCGGTGAGCCTAACGTTAGATGAGATAAGGTGCCAAAGGAGTTAGGCACATCTCAGTTATTTTTTATGTCTTACAATAGCTATAAGCTCCATTCTACTATAAAATATTATGCTGAAAAGTACAAATATAATAAAGCTAGTTTTCATTTAGAAGTTCAGAGACCGCAAAATTTCATAAAAGTTTCATAAACATCAAGTACGTAACTGTAAGAGTATCCTCAAGATGCAGTAATTTTTACTCCCATTAATCATGTCTCAATTAGGATTAACTTAAATACTAGCAGTTTTTTTTCTTAATTTATAACTCAGCTTTTTGAACCAAATATTAACATTTGATTTCCTTCACTTCTAAAAATCAATCTTGTTCATCCTCTCAGCATGATTCCTCATTATTTATAACCTTACTTGACCAAAAAGTGTAAACTCAGTTGTGTCAAAGGTATGTGCATCAACAACAGAAGTAGCATCATTATATACAGCTTTTGTTTCCACTTTCTGAACATTCACACAAAGTTGGTTAGATAGTAAATGCTGTGAACAGTGGTGTTGAACTTATGCCACACAGCGATACCTCTCCCATCCGGCTAAAAGTCTTGCTGAGTTTCTTCCCTCTAGCGAGAAGGAGGAATAGAACGATGCTTGCAATCTCAGACTGAAAACAGAGGTGGTATTCTAATCTAGATACACAGGCAGTGAAGGTCGAGTGTAATTAAGACACTCAATCCATTAAGAAGAATAACAGACACCCATTGTTTTAGCATTCCAATTGTTAAGTATCTTAGCACAAATGAAAGACACGTACGGAGAGCAAAAGTAAAGAAACGGTCCTCAAGTTCTGCACACAGCCTCCAAAAAAATCACACTTTTCCCAAACAACATGTTACTTCCCTGCCCACAGATTTCACAATGAAATTAGGTTTCAGGTATAAAGACTTAAAGATGACCGCAGCAATTTATATTCAAAAACTATTGGTTCAAATTGCCAGGAAGTCAATGGTGCAACGGACAATTTATCCCTCAATACAGAGGTGTGGGAAATCAGATTTGCATCAACTCATATCCTGTATATCTGAAAACAGCTTCCCGTGACCAAACTGAAAACGTTCCTTTTAGAGAACTGTATGACCACTAGAGAGCTACCAATAATTTATTCAGCAATACCAGTTAATGCCCTCCTGTGCTCATTATAAATCTGTAGCTCTATATCTTCTTTTACAAGTTAATTTAAATGCTTTTGTAATTGGATCATAACATATTTTATCAGACTTTTTAGTTTATCGGAGGCAAAGGGCAAGAACAGCTTTCCAAAGTATTTGTGGTATTTTAGCAATTCTTAAAAAGGCATGAAAACCAATCCTAGAGAAAAGGGGTTTGTTCTCAGATTGATTCAACTTAGTTTTAAATAGTAGAGAGCTTACCTTGAACATTTCTGTTTAATACTGGCTCTTGGTGGTTCCTTGGTTTTTGTGATTTTTTGTTCAAACTACCAAAATAAGTGACATCTTATTAATTAAATTTGGGTTACAATGCAACACTGCTGTACTCAAAACCCAGGAACATTTGATGCTTTGGAAAGCAGTAAAAGTAATACTACAAAGGAGATAACGCAGCCTACATAAGCCTCATGAAGGTCTACCTAAAATTATCTTCTACTGCTACAACTTGGTATATAACAATACTTCTTTATCCGCAGAAAAGGCAGGTTGAACGGTAACACAAAGTCAGGAAGAACTGGAGGCTGTTTTGCTTTACCAGTGGGCAGGAAGCAAACTTTACAATCTTGTTTTTTGTTTGCTTCTCACAGACCAATACTGCTCTGGGAAGAAGCAGCCATCTTCCTGTGACTCTGTAGAGGGTACAAGCACTCTTCCAATCCAGTTATTTCATTTAGCAAGATTAGCTCTGAGTTAAACTAACAGTTCCTTTCATGTCGCATGAGCTAAATATAAAACGAAGCTCCAGTTCCCATCCATGACAATTCTAACCAATACCATAAGGTAATTCCTGCTCCACCAGAAGAACAGGTAAGAAAAGAACAGGTAATTAATATTCCTAAATAATGCTCAGATTCTGTAGTTAAGATAGCATATTACTTATGTGTTTGCAGTTACATTCTCATCTTCACTTTATCTCCTTTACCAGAGTAAATATTTTACAGATTATTTTCATATTTCGTATGAACGTTTACTTACTTCACATTTTACCAGACCAGAAGAACTGAAAATAACTATTTTTGAAATAAGGCCTGTACAATCAGGAGTGAAACACAATTCTTGAAGAAAATCCTGTAGGAGAAGATGATACACACAACAAAGATTTAAATTCATACAAAAACTATGTTCTTGTACAGATTACAGTTTCTTAATTTGAGGTGACAAAGGTAACTAAAGCTAGCGCAGTCCTAAACTCTTACTGGATGAGGAAAGCAAGTCACAACTGACTTGGCAAGGACCGCAAATCAAAAGGATCCTAGACCTGTGGCATATATATGTTATTCCCAAAGCTATAGCGAAGCCCCTCCTCCTCCAACTTCACGTTCAAGAGTCAACTTTAAGAATATTCTTTTATGAGTTCATACTCTGCCTGGATTTCCCTTCATTTTACACTGGCTGCTGATACTGTATTTTGTAAAATTCCTTTAGACATACTCAATATCAAACTGTTGCTTCAACAGCAAGACTGTGGAAGGAATTAAGCTTCCATGTGGGAGGACATAAGTGATGCAAGACAAACAGGCTAAGCATACTATGCCTTCACACAGACAGGCCTTTCTTCTGTAGACAACAGCAAGCTTTACCCACACTTGCATGTCAGACAATTTAGCAAGAGACTCCTCTTTCCCGTCTCTCCTCCTGCCATTGTCACGTGGGTGGAACATCAGGCTGTAGCACTGCACTTATCAGAAACCAAAGGAATGCTATAATCTTGACTAAAAAAAGAAAAAATAAAACGCTTATGGTCTGACACAGCTCTTACCTTATCATTTTTATCACTGTAGTTTGTTGTCTTCAACTTTTTCCAACAGCTGATATGAAACTCCACTCTACATTGCTGACAGCAAGTAATACGTATAAAACCCTAACATTGAGAAATAATATGAATTTAACATCTTTAAAAAAAATTTAAAAAAAACAGAAAACAGTGCACAACTTAACAGTAGATAGGATAAGATGGTGTGTTCCAGATAGCTCTTTAACATGAAAGGGGGCAGAAAACATGTAAACATGAAGTTTTATTTCCCAAACCCTTTTAAACTAAAAATTTACCTTGAAGTCTGGGTCTGTAAAATATATCTGGATTTTGGAGTGGCCATGGCATTGCTGATATCGACAAATTGCATCTGGTTCTGGAGGGAACTTGCATTCCTCAATACAATTCTTTAAAATCAACTGAAGAAACACAAAACGATATAAGACAAATTGCACAGAAACCAGGAAAAGATTCAACGTCTACTTACAAACTTCTAGGGAACTCTGCAGTGAAACACACATCTCTTTTTGAACAGCAGATGACTAATACCAAAAGAACAACTCTTTTCTAGTGAAAGCTATGGAAGATTGTCCTTTTACGGCAAAATATTCAAAAGCTCATTTGAACTGCTATCAGCTAAGCACTCACGGCTTCCCTGTATGAAGGTTTATCTTGGACCAATGTTTTACACGCTGACCAGTTCCAAACGCATGAGAAAATATTAAGTTTTCCATTGCCAAAATGATGATCCAGATTACTCTGATAACGTGACAAAAATTCAGTGCCTGCTCATTTCTGTCATTTCCCAACATTTCAGGAGTGCCTCACCTGGGATCTGCATTACAGGGTCAAGTATATTCCCAGGGACAGCTCAGACCTGGCCCTGCACCGGCGCTAGTGAGATCTCCCAAAATAGCGTCTGAGGTAAAGACATTTCAGTGGCTTTATGTAAAGTCAGTTCAAGTCCCACAGGGTTGGCATTAAGCCCAGATTAATAAAACATTATTTGAAACAAAGAGACCGCCAGTTAACAGCCTTTCACATATTTGCATTATGGTCTCCAGAAGTCCCAGACCACTGATGTATTACTGTGGCCAGACTACTGTGGTGTCAGCTGGGGGTCTATGAGAAATCTTTAGGTGAGATTTTGTTTAGGAAACAACAGTACTGCTGCTTCTACCAGAAACAAACAGGTCAGTATAGTATAGCCAAGTTCATACACTGAATAACCTAGCCTGTTCTACTGTGTCAAACTGCCTCCCTGCAGAGGAGCTCATGCATCTTGCCTCTCATGGCATGGTTTATCCAGAAACCCTTCACAAATAACAGTGACACGATTATAGTTTAAAAACAGTAACAATAATAATAAAAAAAAAAAAGCGCTCTTCAGTGCGAGAAAGCAATTTGTAGTGTCAGAACCACAAGTTAGATTTTTCAAGTCAAACAGGGAATTTTACCATACAACTCCCACTGCATCGACCAAGAACTACAAGGTCAAACTCTCCTATTTGGTTTTAAATATAGCACGGCTGCGGAAATTTTCAGCTTCACATTTTTGCTAATTCAAGTTTTTAAGCGGTTCTCTCTAGCATTATGTTGTCTATAGTATTCACATCTACTTAAAGTTTGGTAATACGCAACTAAGGAGTCAACACATTATGAAACACTTGGAGCAGATTAGAACCATATTATTACAGAGAAATACCCAAGCATAGAACCTGTCACAGAGCCCCCACCCTTGTGCTGTAAATGGGATGCTTCCCAGGTGTTGAAATTTGTCGTGGCAAGAAGAGTTCCGCTCTACAAAGACCAGGCCTTGGGGCTGACAACACTCTAGACAATGAGCAGCAGCGCTTGCACTGGCCGCTCCGGGTTGAAACATCCCTTTTGCCCCCATCTTTCTTTGGCCTTGACAATGGGGAGGCAGGGAGGAGGATGACAGCTTTTTCTTTTTTTTTTTTTTGAAAGACCATTTGACAGAACGGGTTTGTTTTCCTTTTTTTTTTTTTTTTTTTTTAAACATACCTGTAAATTCTCTGTTCGTGTCTCTTCAATGACCTGAGATGTTGTGGGCCAAGTTAATACTCCAGGTAAAATCTTGTGATTAAACATTGTTTGTGATTTCATGAACTGATCGAGCGCATCTGAAAATCTGAAGTTTGAAACAGGTACATGTTCAGATCATACATGAATAACTTCTACGTGGCCTGTAATACTTCCGCAATTCATTTTACGATCCAAGGAAAAAAAACGGTAACTGTAAGAGTATGTGGAATGAAAGAGCACCTGGTTCATTGAGTTATCTGTTTAAGGACTCTTCAGTATCAAAAAGTCAAGGTGTGAGCCAGTAAGCCAGCCTGGGTAAGGGGCCCAGAGTCCAGGCACAGATATGAGGCAGACTGAGAGCCTGCGCTGATATTCAAGGGACCCACAAACATGGGTGTGCTTGTCAATCTAGACAGTGAGGGCACACATACGTTCACTAGTGACCTTGAACCCTGACCAGCCAGGGAGGAGGCACAGGACACTGCTACCCGTATTTGTATTTTACATGAGTTCAGGTAGTGCTATACATGGGAGCTGCTCTGCCTGCGGTAGTCTGGGTGGGCGGCTGTGCTGTCCTGTGTGTGTGTGTGCATGCACCTCTTTGGGACACGCATGCAGCCTCGCTACGGGTCAGAACTGCCAAGGGAAGCAACAGCCGCATCTGTGGGACTGGGACACAGACACCTCCTGGGTCTCAGACTGCACCTGGCAACACCGCAGCAGTGGGAAGGAGGAATCCCCTCCCAGCATCCAACACTCGAACTAGGTGCTTTTAGATATTCCACATGAGGAGGGTTTAATGTTTAATATCAAACTTATTTATTTGGCATTGTATTGGGCTTATGTGGCAAAGTTGGGCAGGGGGGAAGGGGCCACTGCTGCACGGGCGGCCTCTGTGAGGAGAGGCCAGGGCTGCCCCAGTTCCAGTTGGCTCCAACGAACCCACCAAAGGCACAGCTGAGCCCCTCAGGCAAGATGGTGGCACCTCAGGGAAAGCATGGGTAAGAAAGGACAAAACATACTGCATGGCTGTGAGGAGTAAGGAAAAAAAAGTGTGAGGAACAGCCCTTCAAGCACCAAGGGAAGAAGGAGGAGGGGAGGAGGTGCTCCAGGCACGGAGCAGAGATCCCCCCGCAGCCCCTGCAGAGGACCCTGCTGGAGCAGGTATCCACACTGCAGCTGCGGAGGACCCCTGCCAGAGCAGGTGGATGAGCCCCAAAAGAACTGTGGCCTCAGGCCCATGCTGCAGCAGGGGAGGGGGGGGGAGTGGAGGAAGGAGCGGCAGAGAGGAGCTGTTACGGACTGACCACAGCCCCCACTCCCCATCCCCCTGCGCCGCTCCGGGGAGGAGGAGGCAGAGGAGTGGGGAATGAGGGAGCGAAGTCGAGCCTGGGATAAAGGTAGTGTAGGGGGAAGGTGATTTTGGTTTTTTACTTTGTTTTCCACCATCCAACTCTATTTTAACAGACAATAAATTAAATTATTTTTCCTCAAGTTGAGTCTGTTTTGCCTGTGACTGTAATTGGCAAGTGATCTCCCTGTCTTTATCTCAACCCCTGAGCTTTTTCATCTTATTTTCTCCCCCTCTCCCATTGAGGAGGGGGAGTGGGCGCTGGGTGAGGGTCTGGCAGCCAACCAAGGTCAACCCACCACAGGTGTTATGGGGGTTTTTGATTAAGCAGAGCAATACAGTGATACAGTGAAATCACAACACAAGCGTAACATAGCCATTGCAATACACAGTTGACTCAATACAAACGTGATTCTCATTACCGGTGTCTATATGCTTACCTTCAGAACGCTGGGAAGAAATACCGCCACGAATATGTGGGTTGAAGCCAGCTCAAGCCCTTTGCTCTCAAGTTTATTAGTTGTCCAGTTTCTGCACTTTATGTTCAGCTGAGCCACGCATACACTCCCCCCGTCTCCCCATGCTGGTCTGGCTAGCTCAGGAAGACACACTCTTTGCCTCTCTCAGGGAACCCGATGACTCACTGGTGCAGCTGCCTTATCTAAACCCAAGGTTACCCTCCAGCCTCCCTGGTGTTGAGATAAGTTAAGCTTTCTTTACGATACATTTTTGCCCGAGATCATCATTTTTTGCCCTTCTCCTGTGAGCTCTCCTCCACTGCAGGGGTGTGCTGGTCAGCCATACCCCCATGCCCTGGAGTCCACTTGATTCAGCGGCTTCCATTACATCCTTAGCAGTAACAAACTTGAAGTTGTAATAAATCAGTCTGATGTATGAATTTAGTGATTAACAAAGAATAATTAAAAAAACCCCAAGAAACCCACCCATGGTTTCTCAAATGAAAATATTTTTGTATCAAATATTGAAGCTTTATATTATACCAACCTGTTTTGTCTGAGGTATACTTTTCCAATTCCATAGTATGCCAAACAACCAAATCTTTCTTCCTGGTACTGCTGAATTATTTTCTTAAACTGGTCTTCAGCCTTTGTCAATGCCTTCAAAATAAATTTAAGACAAAAATATGTGACACTTTGCCAGAAGCTTTTCACTTTTCCTCTCCTTTTTTTGCTCCAGTAGAGTGGGTCAGTATGCCCTATTCTTTGATCAGTCTTATGAACAGTAAAGCAACCTTATGATCACACACAAAGGCTTCCCTTTTTTTAAAAAAGAAACTTATTCTGTAAACATGGGCTCCCTCTGAACTAATAAAATTAAATGATTGAGCTCACTAAGACACTGGATATTTTTAAACACTGCAGGAAAAAAAACAAACCAACCCCCCAAAACCCCCAAACAACCCACACTTCTGTTTTGGACTTTTCCAGAACCAAAAGCATTCTCTTTCTCTTGTTTTAGAAGCACAATGTTTTGTGTTAGAAAGACTAGTGCATAACCACATTACAACAAAGTAGAAGAAAAATAATTGACTATACTTCATTAATACTTAAGAATCTCATTTGAAAGCTTAAAAAGAAATGTTATTTGGTAGCTTAATTTATCCAAACCCATTAAAGATCTAGTCCCAGATATTAAACTGTATGATTCTAAAATGTGACAAAAGCTTTCCTTTCCCACTCATTTTATGTCCGTTAAGAAGAGACAAAAATGGATGGCCAACTACCTGAACTAGCATTTTTAATAAAAGCAATATAGTGGCTTAATGTCGTACCTCAGGTTGTCCTATTCCAAGAAGAGCAGTGGCATGTCCATAGATGATTACAACATAATTAATAATACGAAGATTCAGTTGCTGCAAATAGAGTCAAATTATAGTAGCAGCACACACAAAAACAGTTTGCTGGTAACTAGAACTTTACTGTCTACTGTGAATTGAAGATCTTCACGACAACAGAGCTAGGAAACCCTTTTCTCATCCTTCTTACCGTAACCTCTACCCAGATTTATGTTACAATTAGCATAAAAAGTTAAGGTTAACTACACCTTTACTGCTGGTCATTTGGCACCCTTACGTATATCAAAGTAATACATCCTCAAACATCTGCTTTTAGAAATGCTGTAACTACAGGCCTTACTATTTTGACTTCATGCAGCGCAGTGTGTCTTTGCTATATTTCATGTTCAGAGCTGATTTTTTTCTTTTTTTCAAAATAAAAAACCCCCTTTCTCAGCCTTTTTCTTCCTAATAAACTAGGTCACAATTCCAGATGGATTGGTGCATTACTTGCTTGGACAGACTTCTTGTTGGCACTGCAACAGCCCCTACGAAAATGGGAGCTTGAAACACAGCAACGCATGTGCACACACATTGTCACACAAAACTTAATTGTGTGACTTAATACTACAGTACAATAATTTAAAGAAATCTAGGACAAGTGGGTCAATGGCTGATTGGCTAGATAGATAGATACAACATTTCACAGTATTTGCCATCAAAGAGTTATCTGACCCGAAGAATATAAATTCTTTTTACCCTACATTATTATGAATAAAGGTTAAGCTGACAATGAACAGTAGTTTCTTATCAAATAAGATATTTGATAAGAGTATCTTATATTATTCTTATAAGTATATTATTTTGGTAAATATTTTTTAGATTGCATCTAGAAATGCACATGTATGCTGAACATTACAAACATACATCCTATGCTACTATCGGTTTTTTTACCCTGTTCTCATTTGTAAGCTCCTTGGCATACTTATCAATGAAACACTTGGCATTTGTGAAATTTGTGAAACATCACAGGCAACAATTCAATAATAATGACGATTTTGGTGGAAGGAAAGAAACAAAACACGGTATTGAAAGCATAAACTTCAATTACGCTAATAAACTAAGTTATTCCTCTCAGTTTACCTTTAATTCCGAAGGATTTAGAATGCTCAACAATTGTGAAAAGGCTTGCTCAGCACTGTGACACCGCTGGTCCATCAAGGCTGTATAACCATCACGAACAAGGGATTTAACCTCTTCTGGCAACATAGTTAAATCCACCTAAAATATTTAGGAAAACAGTAAGTCCAAAAGAAAATGGTCTTTTCCTTTTTTTTTTTTTTTAAAGCAAGCAAGCTATTTGCTAAAATACTTATCCAACAGACAAACATTAAAGTTCTGTACTTTCTACAGTTTTATCACAATTTCACTTTTAAAGCAGCAAATCAGGTACATTTTATAAAAATCTGTTCTAAATTCAACTTCTAAAAACTTAAGATTTTCATGGACCTACTGCTGCTAATCTCTTAAAAATCTAGTTTTTGTTCTAAGTTTAGATCCTTTTCTCTCTAGAAAGTTTCAAGTTTAGTTCAAGCAGCATTTTAATCCTTCTTAAATACAAAAAAAACCCAAACCACCCCAGACTTATGATTTTCCTCACTCGTACACTCCATGTTGTGTACAAACTTTTTTGAAAAACCTGAGAACTATTTCCTTCTGCCTACACTTTCTCTCCATCTAGGTTAATAGTTAATGCTAGAAGGTTTCAGAATGCATTTATGTTATTAGCCTTTCACTACATATACTTCCTGAAGTCTGCGGGAATTTCCAGCAGTGAGACTGTAAATCAAGACAAGCAGTTGCAGAATTAGGAACTTCTATTCCCTTGACCTGTTGCAACACTAAAATAAAATTAGCTCGGGGAAGCAGATCACTGTGCCAGGGTAGAAATAATTTGACTATTTAAGAAGCTCCTCCAACACCGACTCCTGCATTCATAAGCAAAAAACAAAGAGTAACAAGGAGGCCCACCTGGGTATTTTAGGCCACTACCTCATTTCAGTAGGAATTAACCTTCAGTATGAAGTAATCCTGCTTTACAAGCTTCTCGTTAACTGCACCTTTCCCCCCTCCCCCCATGTTAACATTTGAGCCGGGGATTCTGAAGACAGGGTCGTGGGCAGGGAAAAACTGAAAGAATAGGAAGGTTTGGAAGAATGGAACATACTTTTGAGTTGCCCAATCTTTTTAACATTATTCTAATGGTGTACTTAATTGTAATCCTGTGAACTGAATTAGGCTTTTGACATACTAAATTTAATGCATGTCCTGAATGTATTTTCCTAAGTATCTATCAATTTCGATCTTACTTTGTCTTCATTCTGTCAACTGACCAAAAAGGACAAACGTAAGAAAATACCCATGATCCAGTGACAGTTATAAACAAAAGTGGCAGGGACAGTGGAAACTACAAATAGATACAGAAAAGACCAAAATGCAGAAATGAGTTACTGAAAAAATGATTAAGACTTATTTTAATTTCCTAGAACTATTGATACAAGGTAATGCTGTCAGAGCATATAGTTATAGAACAGAACAAATTATATTAATGTTAAGCTAATAACGTTAAGCTACATGACATAGGAAGCTGATTAAGCCAACTAAAAACGTTACTTTCGATACCAGTAATGCATTAGCCTTACAAAAAAATAGGTATTTTAAAGGAAATAAGGGGTCTTAGTGCAGGCAGAACCTGCACCTTCTCCTGAATACAGTTTTGTTTATGAGGTAATTAATCAGAATAGAGATTTCTGGTATCTACTTCCCCAAATTAACAGAGAGGAAATGATTAATTATGTACATCCCCGTGATTTCATTCAAGAACTTTGGGATACTCATCATTCATTGCTCATAAGACCTGAGAAGGAGAATTCTCAATTTATGAACTTTATAGTGTTTTAAACAGACGTTCAACAAAATGTTATATGAATATTTCCAAATGTATGTATCAAACACAGGAAAACATATTTAGTCAGAACTTTGGGAGGGGTATTATAAATCCCTGAATGACTCCCAGAGATTTTTGTAGTTTTTCTTACAAATTAAGGTACAAGGGAGCTATATTTCTAACTCATGGTTTTAGCCAAGTTATTCTACAACTACACACGAGTTTAGTTACACTAATTTCCACTGTGAGGTCTTACAGGAGGGGAAGGAGGAGAAGCAAAAGAAGACTACCAGCAACAAGGCAGTATAAATCAGTGTAATCACGCAATCTTTGTCTCCTGATAAAAGTCAGGCTAAGCATGAAGTGTTAGATTTTTGAATGAACCGAGATTTTGGACAGTGTTACTAAAAGGTGACAAATCATTTACGCTTAAGGTTGTATGCTAATGAATTGCCAGTTACCTGTTGCACAGTACGGAAGAGTTTATCTTGGATGGCTTTAGACTCTATCTTCAAATCAAGGTGATCTCTACAAGTAACAGGACAATGGCATCATGAGTTTGTACGTGTACTTTATATGTAATCTTATTTTCAAGAAACAGAAATTTCTGCGCTTTTATCAACTACATCACATTTGCCTACATGCTGGAGGTTATTATGGCACACTTTCACAGTCGCAATAACAAGTACTATAACACTATCATGGATTATGATACTATTCATATAGTTCATATACTTCTGGCTCAGGAATCACTGTGGCTTCCGCAAAGTAGCAGTCTTCTCCCCATCATTTTATTTGTTTTATCTTCTCCACCTTATTCTCAGCTGAGTGGATCTTATGAAGGGGTGGGATAGGTGACTAGAGAACTTCCCTATACCAAAGGCAGCAATATAAGAAAGTGCTTAGGCCTCCTTCCCCTCCTCTACTCTTCCCAAGTACAAGATCCTTTATCCTAGCACAACCACCGCTTAAAATCAAATACATGTAGCAGCTATTCATGGTAGGAGGGAGAGCAGAGAAGAGAGGCACAGTTGTTCTTCCCAGCTCTTCCTTTCCGCTACTGCAGCAGAAATGCCATGCACAACTAGAGAATGCAGAAAGTATAATGAAGCGGCAAAGTATTGCTTAATACTCTAAACTAAATCCTCAATGCTAAGATTGCTAGTGAATGCTTAATGCTACTATATTGCCTTTTGCTAATATACATTCAGTTCTGGCCCACATTTGAAGGCATCAAACGCTCATCATCTGAGATAAAATTCTTTACCGTGTCAGAGGATTCCCTAGATTTTTGGAAGCCAAGCAACTTGCCAACTACAGAAATGGAGATAAGATTGTAACTGACCATGCATCTCACTTGTTGAGAAATACTGTATTTTTTTTGGTAAGTCTAAATAAACTGCCCTGAGAGAGAAGCAATTCTGCAGTTACTTTAGAGAAGATTTGTTCCCACAGTGAATGCTGTTTTCCCCCTCCTTAAAGTGAAAGGAGAAAGAAGTCAGTGGCAACCCAGTTAAATAACATAAATGACCACTCCTGTGACGAAGTTTCAATTGTCCGAGCTACAGTGGTATTCAAAAAGAGCTACAGAAAAACAAAAGGATTGTACTGTAATAAATATAGATTAAAAGATAGTAGGTTTTGTGGTCACACTTAGATTAGGACTGGGGATAATCAGGTTCAGCATCCAGGTTTCCTAAAGGCTTAGACTCTTCTACATAAGAAATCTGCCTTTAAAAATTACCACTTAATGGAAACTTTCCTATTTCAATGTAAATGGCTTATTTTGCTGTACCCCTCAGCTGTTTTTAATCATCCTAAACACAACTAAAAAACACTAGCTGAAGAAGCAAGAAAGGACAGTCAGAGCTTAATTTGTCTAATTTCACAGCTCAGGTTAAAACACTGAAAGCTTCCATCTCTGCGTGTCCTTAAGTAGTAAGTCATCATTTGCCTCAGTCACCTTACAAATAAGTCAGCAGCAACAGTTCTTTACTCCTTAACTATCTATTAGATGAGGAAATTTGTTGGCATATGGAATCACCTATAAACGCAGCGATTTCCCCAAACCCGTTTGGAGCATGTTGGCCCCAGTATCACTGGAAATAATTCTTTCCTTTGTTAAATTTTATTTTAAATGTTATAACAGATGGAAGCATAAATTTTGTCCATAAAATCTATAGTACTTTTTATCTCAACTAATTTAATTTTGGCCCCAAACCACCAAACATACTCATTTACATTCAGCATGTTCTACAGGGAGTATTCATGTACTTAAAATTAGACATTGATATGCTTTAAGTGAAAATTCAAGTCTACAAACAACTAAAGGACTCTAAGTAAAAGTTCTTTTCTGGTATTCAATTCTGAGACTGACTCACAATGCTTCCTCGCAGCCAAACCTCTTCTTCTTAGTAAGCATATGAAGTGTCAGAGAAGTTTTAAAATTTATTTGGTACACAGAGTAGAGCTAGTACAAAAAGGCCTTGAAAATAAGATAGAGCTTGAGTTACGTTGTGGTATAAGTTCGAATGTAACAATTGGAACAAGATTCCTATTATCTTTTGCTATAAAGGAAGCACATTTTTTGTTATGGCTATACTGTGTGCTTGCTTTTGGGCAACAGTTTTTAAACAGCTTTTATTAAAATTATGCCTTCATTTACTACAATTCAACTGAGATCTGGAAAATATGTAGTTTTCAAGTAACAACTTAGGCTCTTCGTGAAAACCGGATTTTTGTGAACTTTAACCAGCTATCTTAACATGGAACTATATCCCGAAGAGTATGTAAACAATGTAAACAAAGCAATTAGCAAAGAGCAAGCAGCAAGTCAAGGTTGCATTAACTCCTTTTTAAGTGCTACATAAAATAACTCAGAATTTTAATAAATTAAAAAATAAATAAAATTCTTACCTTGTTTTTTCAGAGTCACCAGGTTTGGTTTTTGGCCTTCCTTTGTTTTGATGACTTTGGCCTGTAATGAGAAAAAATATTTCAAACAAAATGATCCTCACCTAAAACAAAGGGAAAAAAATGCACTCGGAACACACACTTCGCTTTATAAATAACAGATCTTAATCATCTACAATATCAAAAACTAACACAACTGAGAAGTTTTTCAAAAAGCCACCTCTGAGCGTTTCAGTACGAATTTGATATTATTTTTATTAAAGAGTACAGGATTTTATTAATCCTATAAAGGGGAAAAGATACTTCAAATAAACAGAAGAATCTTAACATTCTGTAAGATATGATCTGACTCTACAATATTGTAACAACTATTAAAGTGGACTCCAAGCTAAAGAAATCAGTATGTTATACAAAACCACAGTTGATACTATTCACTATTAGTTGATAACTAGAATTTTTAAAGGGAATAATAGATCACTATGGAAGTTCAAGTTTGACTACAGAAATTTTACAGAAAGAGTCTGCTACTTCAAAAATACATTGCTAAAGAAGTTAAGTTCAACCCACGTTAATCATAGAAATGTAAACATATGAGTTGGATCGAGATAAATGTCCCCAGTTACAAAATAAAAATGCTTGACGATGTGGAAATACTAGATCACAAAGACAAGAAAGAATCTATCATGTGATACCAATTCATTTCTAACTCTGAAACTTAATGTCAAAGACTTAACACACAACTTTACTAATACACAACTTCAGAGATCTAACACTGTCGTTGGTTAGTTACAGGGCTCTACAAGCTGAGTAAACAATTCACTAGTAATAAGGAAGAAGAAAACGCATTTTAATACTTTATTATAATTGGTCAAAACCAGGAAGCCATGCCATTAACTGCAAAATAATCTCTCAACCGTTTTCTGTGGAATTAAAACGTAACATTAGGCATCTGAATTGCACATGCATACTCATGATTAAGTCAAGAAGTTTTTAATTTTCAAGAATTTTAAGTTAGAACTTCACAAGGCCTTAATGACTCAATAGCAACAGTGACAAAATCCACCTATGGGAGAGTTGCCTTCTAGTAACTGGATGATTAGACAAGCAAGGCAAAATATAGCACTTCTGGCCTGGTAAGGAACCAACAAGCAGCTGACAAATTCAGCTGCAGAACTGCTGAGCATCACACATTGCAGGTGTTCCTTACTACAGATGGTAAGTTGAAGGGGTGCAGAGCAGCAGATGTTTTTTGCTAGTTAAACCTAATGGATTTTACAAGGCATATAGGAATGCCACCTTCTGCCTCAGCTACCTGTTCCAAGAGGGGATAGTTCCAGCTATAATCTTTCAGAAGCAGTTTAGGAGGCAACTGTGGCTTCCTAATATTGGACACAATCACCCAGACAACATACAGTCCACCGCTTGGATTCAACCTATTTGAGCACGGGAACCCAAGCATAAGGTATAGCTAACTAAATCATTAAATGTTGCTTGATTTACTATTTTGCTTCTGCTGAACTACCATAAAATCAAATTTGAAAAAAGGAGTTATTATTTTTATATATAAATTTTTTTTTTCTATAAAGTTTCAGTAACTATGCTTAAAAATGTTTACTTCATGATACTCAGAGAAGTATTTTATATGATTAGACACAAAATACTGACAGACACTGATTGTGGAAAAATATAAATTTACCCATTTGAGTAATCTCACTCAAGCCAGTGGGACGTCTCATGTACTCATTTCTCAAGTTAAATCGCATGCATACACACTTCATGCCTCATGCCAGAAGTAATTTTTCATTAAAAACTACTTAATGATGTAAAATTTAAATTAATCAGAACAAAAATCAAGCATCATGAAGACTGAACATGTTCAGAATTATTTCCTGAACCATTTCTTGAAATTGTCACACAGGACTCTGAATAGGTATCTGTTGAAACATTTCAGATGCATTAAGAATTTCAAAGCTACACTAATAATCACCACAAATTCCTCATAATAGAGACATTTAAATGATGGAAAACAATAATCCTTTTGAAAGCCAGAAAACACGTCAAGCATATCATCATTTAATGTTTTACAGATAGAGATATACTACCTTTTGTTCATTATATAGGTTCCTTTCCCTTAAGGAACCAATCTATCATGCAAAACAAAATCTTAATGAAGATAAAGGCATACAAGCCTTCCCTCTCACCATCAAAAGAAAGAATTAATCAGCACTATTTTTTCAGTGAATTATCTAATTTTAAAAGCCATTCAACAAAAACTATTTCAGAAAAATTTCCTACAGCAACTACTACTCCCATATACCACCCAACTTAAAAAGATACTACTTTCAGATTTTTTAAAAAATACTTTTAAAGTAACAA